AAATTAAAGTTATTTATTTAAAATTATATAATAATATAATATCTAAAATTTGATTGGCTAAAACTAATAATATTATTAATGATATAATTATGGCTAATTATAGCACATATATTACAACTACTAACAAAAACAGCAACTATTAAAATTTAAATAAATAATTAAGTTACTATTTTTATGAGAGACTACATGATAATCTTGAGTTCAGGTAAGAAAATTTACAAATCTTCTATCTGAATTTTTATTTGCAAGAAAATAATAAGAATAGTAGTTATATAGTTTGATATAAATAAGAATTTCCAAGAATTATCTCTATTATATTCACTGAGATATAGATCAATTGGAAATCTAATAAAAGAGTAATATATACTTATAAACTGATTAATTAATTAGGTAATAAATACTTCAAGAGTAGCTAATCCTTAAAATAATGAAATGAATAAAAATAAAAATAATAAAAATTAATTAATGAGATTTCTAGATGGGTGAAATTCACAGAAGAGATATTAAATATTATAAACTATACTCTAAAAGATAGATTTTATTATGAATATAATTTATAATAAGTTTTGAGAATTATTTATAAAGATTAAGAGAATAATGATTATTTTAAAGATTTTCTAATATTAATATTTATAAGTATTATATTAATACAAGACAAAAATAAAATAAAACAAAAATATAAAAACAAAGTTATGATCATGAATACTAAACTAAAAGTAAATATCAAAAACTAAAGTAACAAATACTTAATTAAGATAACAAATACCAAATATAATAAATACAAAATAAAAGCAATAAATGTCAAACTAAAATAACAAATATTAAACTAAGCTTTTATATGTGAGAAAGCTTACAAGAATCTTCTAAATTAAATAAATATACTTGACTTATTTTAAGTGGAGGACATCCACTACCTAAGTTTTTCAGGCAAGAAAAACTTGTAAATAACTAAAATATAATCTATTACAATAAAAGAGATAAATAAAAGCAAGTTATTAAGGCAAAAATTAGAGAAAAATATCAAGATAAGTATAATTCAAGTATTTTCAAAAGATAATCAAATTATTGCTATTCAAGTATATTTATTTTAGATCTCAGAGCAGAGATATTTATAAATCTTTGAGATTTTACAAGTTTCTATCTAAACTTATTTGCTACTTTAGATTATAATTACAAACTTTAAGATAAAGAATTAATAAATAAACAAGTAAAAACAAGAGATAAGATATATGTAATAAGCTATAAGATAATAATAAAAATAAATGAAATTCATTGCTGAACTATTTTTGAAGTATTTTTGAATAATTATTAAACTATTAATGAACTGTTGTTGATTTTGGGCTAATTATTCATTTATAATCTTGAAGTATTACTAAAATATTACAAGAACATTGCAAAATCATTATTAAATCATGATTAAATCAATAACTAATATATTAATTATATTATTCAAAATTATATATCTTTTAAAGATTGATTGATTGGTCAAATTTTCTAAGTTCAAAAAATTATGAAATTAAAGAAATTTATATTACTATAGTAAAAATAGAAATTAATAAACTTTTAATTATTTCTAATAAAATATTATCTATAAAGTTCTAAAAGAAAATTAATTTATTATGATATTTATTAATATATTTAGAAGAAAGTATTTAAATTTGAAAGAAAAAGATAATAATATTAAGTTAGTAGTGATTAGTATAATATAGCTTTAAAAAATTTAAAAAATATTAAGATATTTTGCTTTAACAAGAATATATAGCAAAATAAATAAGATTAATAAGTATTCTAAAAAAATTCATTAAAAAAAGAATTAATCAATTATAATAGTCTTATATAAAAGATTACTTTAATATTTTAGTCTTTGATTAATTATTATAAAGAGTATTTATTATAATTTAAAAAATAAATAGTTTTTAATTAATTATTATAAAAAATATTTATTATAATTTAAAAAATAAATATAAGATAATAAAATTAACATCATATATCTAATAATTGAATAATAAAAAAAATTTTATTCAATAAATATATATTCTTTCTAAATACATATTCATAACTAGTTTCAAGTGGAATATATTTAGAAAGATCTCTGTATTTTGAAGAAAAACTTATTTAAATATATTTATAATTATCATAAATTATTATAAACTTAAAATATAATTTTGATTTATTTTTTCATATTATATCTAATAAATTATTTTATATTTAATTAATATTTTATTAACTCTTTATTTATTTTCAATACATATTAATTCTTGATATTAAGTTAATAATCTCTCTAAGAATATTAATACCAAATTTTGATTACTTCTCCTTTAAGATAGTTTTGAGCTTATTCATAATTCTTGAAAAGTTTCTGCACTTTTTTTTAATATTTTCAAATATTTTTTATAGAATAAGATCAGAAGAAAATGTTGGCCAATTCATAATCTTGATTTTCTTTCTTCAAACTATTTTTTAACTTTGATTGCAATATGAATTAAAATATTATCTTGCTAAAATATTGTCTTTTCACTTATTAATATATAAAATAGATTATAAAATAGTAAAAGCTAAGTCTCTAAAATTTAAAGATACTTATTTAATAATTCTTTTGTTTTTCCTATAAAATATCTTCAAATTATTACTGAGTATTAACAACTTTTAAAAGTGGATAATAAGCACTATTAAATTTCTTATTCATATTTTGTAATACTCTTATTTGTCATGATTATTTTTCAATCTCTACACTCGACCCATCTGAAAAAATAATCTTCCATCAATTAAAAAAGATTTTTTTCTTATATCTTGTAATATGTATAATTATATTACTTTCCAAATAAATAACTTTTCTGTAGTAATATAAGATCAAATCTCACAGTTATACAGCATATTCATAGTAGTTAACAAATTGCAATTAAGATTTAAACTGTTTGCAATTTCATGTAATGATTCATGTTATATTTTGATAGCTTTTTGCTTAAGTATATTTTTTATCTATTATTGAGAACTTACAGTTTACCAGACCATAGTAAATTATTGATTTTTTTGGTCTTTTTATACTTGGTAATAAATTATTATATTATGATAAGATCACACTTTAGTTTTTTTATAATTTGTTCAGCATTTATATTCTCCATATATGCTAGTATTTTTCCCTTCTCCATGTCAGTCATCTGAGTATGTGTGGATGTCATAATTACATATAGTATTATTTATTACAGTGTTTTGGTGAAGTTGACATAAAAATTGGTATAAAAACGCCGCCTTGCGTAAAATTATTGATATTGTTACACATACAGATTGGGCGTTGCTTTTTGTGGCGACTGATCTAAATATAGTACATGCATAAGAGATTTAAAAATTTGGGAGAAAAAATTGACGATGCTTGCAAAATATTCTCTCACACGTTTATTTCTACTTAGAACTTCAGTCATTGAAAATCACAATACTTGGTGATTACATAAAATTTACTAAGTCAACGAATCTTTGCCATTAACAAGTTATATTAGAAACAATATGTACCTACTTTATAAATAAAATTGTGAAAAAATTGAAATATTGTTATTTAAAGAAAAGTGATCGAAATAATTCAAAGATACATTCGTAGTGATATTAATAAAATAAAATATACATGCGTGCGAAATATACATGTATAGTAGTATGAAAAAGAATTGAATACTTTCACAGTATATCAATCAATGAGAAATTACTGATCTAATTTCTATCAACGGAGCTAAAGTTTGACGTTCTCACAGAAAACGGTATTAGTCGTCTTATCAACCGTGTAATTTCTGTTCTGAAACCACGGTTGGAGATGGCATTACTAACTCAACTTCTGATCAAGCAGCAATGTTTCAAGTTTCAAAAGATACAGATGCTACATCTGTTGAATTTATGATCGTATTGCTCGTTGCTGTCGTAATCAGTCAATTGGCTCTTTAATTACAATTACAATTTAAATTCAATCTATTTTTCAATAACTAAATCATAACCTACATACACAATATAATGTTACCGTCGCAACAGAACGATGCAAGAAAATCTTAATTCTGGTATTCTTACGAAAATAAATTTATTGTTATCACTGAACCAACCAATCAAAATTCCACGAAATTCATACAAAATTCTTATCCTGTAGCATCAATATTGGTGTCACTTTGCAAAATTCTTACAAAAAATTCTTACTTTAAACTCCAAGAATATGATTATCAGTAGTACATGTATTCTATTAGGAGTATAAATAATGATATATGCATACAGTGTCCTTTAGATACATGTACATGTATATTCACATGCATGTGGCATGTAGGGGGAAAAAGCGATGAACAATAATAAAATCATTATTTGAATTTGCAACAGGCCCTCCTTTCTATATAAGGACGCCTGTAGCATCAACATTGATGTCGCTTTGCAAGATTTTTACAAAAATTACTTTGAGCTCCAAGAATATGATTATCAGTAGTGTATGTACGGTATATGTATTTCTTTTAGGAGTACAAATAATGATACATGCATACTGTGTCCTTTAGATACATGTACATGTACATGTACATTCACATGCATGTGGCATGTAGGGGGAAAAAGCGGTGAATAATAAAAAATCATTATTTTTAACTTCCAACAGGTTCTCCTTTCTCTATATAAGGGCACGTTTTTCTGTTAATTTTACTCTCGTTTTCGTCAAAAAAATAATTCGATACGAAAAAAATGCATTTCAAATACTACTTCCTTATGACTTTCTCTCTGGCGTCAATGGTCTATTCGCTTCCGCTTGGTGCTGGTACGACTTTCCGCGACGGATCTATCGATTTTTCATGGGTTGCCAGTAATTGTAATAGTGGCGATCATCTTGTGGCTGGTGATCTCAGTGCTGATGTGACGGGGAAATTATGTTAAAATAACACCTGACTTCTTGTAATTGACTTCACACTCAAGCAGACCTGATAAATTTTATAAACATACAAATTATTGTGGTTTCAAAGTAACCATCTGTACATTTTCAGCCCACTCACTAATCATTACATGTTTTTTTCGAAACATATAATTTTTACTATGTATTTAACTTGATCTATTAAACATTATAAATTTTATACGAAGCTTTAGATGAAAATTCGGAAATTCAAATGTAAACTAAAACTACGATATTTAGAAAACTTCTTCCAAGTTATGTTATGGTTTGTCACTTAGATGTATTAAGATTCTACGTTTAATAGTAAAGATAAATGTTTTGAATAAATAATGACGATAATTATAAGTAGAGATGTCGCAACACCTTCCATGTATATACATGTGATACCACAACATAACATTTGACATCGCTTTTTGCAACAACACTATCATAATAGTGTCTGCGATTAATATTTATCATATTATGATTATTCTGATCACCGTAATTATCCACGGCTTGTAATTATTAATTTTCGCAATTATTTACGTGCAGGTATCATTGTTACAGTAATATAATGACGACTAAACCTTTTATCCTTTTTTTTGAGATCACCTTAGCTATTGACAAATACTTGATAATAATTTTTCTATCAACTAATTTCTTTCTTTGGCCTTGTTAGAGTTCCTCCGGTGTTTATGAATGTTTTCAATAATAAAAGAGAGGTCCTTAGTAATAGATCACTATCTAGTTAAAAATATCGAAGTACTTTAGTTTATGAATAAAGATCTCCCATGTATATAAAGACGTGTTCTTGGCTTCCAAGAATCATCACATACAATCAAATGAAGTAAATGTATTAGCAATGTAGTATTTTATAGGAGTTAATCAATTTTGAGGCTCACTTATACATAGTTTTAGTTTACATTTGAATTTCCGAATTTATTTGTTTGTTTGTCTCAGATTTCGTCACGAAATTTATTCAATAAAATCAAGTTAAAATATGTAATAAAAATTATATGTTCTGAAAATGTAATAAATTAACAACCTGATAAGTATGACTTTGAACCACCAACAATAATCGTAATATACAATAATTGGAATGTTTATAAGTTCATCAAAGTTTTAAATCAATAACAACAAATAGAATGTCATTTTTTACTCGGTGGCATGCAAAAAAGAGCCTTATATATATGAGGGCTATTTGATAACTAGGCTTTTTTGACAGGGATCAAATTGTCTGCATACGCAGCAACATCAGACGGAAACGAATAGACCATTGAAATCAGAGATAATAATAATAAGGAAGTAGCATTTGGAATGCAATTTTTTTGTATCGAATTATTTTTTCAACAGAAATGCGAGATAAGTTAACAGAAAAAGCACATACAAGTACTTATATAGAGAAAGGAGAGCCTGTTGCAAATTAAAAAATGATTTTATTATTGTTCATCACTTTTCCCTCCCCAACATGCTTTTAAGACACATGCAAATATACAGTATGTGCACATTATCTAAAGGACAATGTATGTATATATCATTTTTTGTGATAATCAATAAAAAATTGATACATGTATAAAAGAACATAAAGAAGTTTTTGCTTATAGAATTATGAACTTGAATATTTCGGTATTAAAATATCAGTTTGCATGCTCCAAAAAAATTTCTATTTACAGTGTGATTTTTCTTTTACTGTACTTCATATATTTTTGTATTGCGATAACTTTTCGATTTTTTAGTATAAGTCTACGAATCATCATATTTATCGATGCCAAATTTGTACTGATCTCGTGGTTTCGGAAATTTCTGGCATAATGGGAATCCTTATTTGCTGTTCTCCTACATTATTATATAACGAAGAATTAAAAATATTATTAATAATGAATGTCCTGTAACACTTATAGTATTGTTGCCATCGCAACAAAAAATCTCGTGATTATGGAATATCGTGGAGTATTGCTGAGTCTCTTGATTTTGTACTCCAGTGAGTACATGTAATGTGTAACGAAACCTTAACAATTAAAATTTCCTATCATCCCAAAAATTCCTACTAAAATTCTTACTTTGCAATATCAATATTTGATGCAATCCCACCTTGCAATATCAACATTAACGCTGTTTCACCAAAAGCAAGGAGCATTTCATTAAAACTCTTCACCTTACACGCCCAATATATTGATTATCGCACAACTCTTATTTATACGTCCTCCTTTATTACGTGATCCATAATTATAATTGCTTTTTGGTAACGTAAGAATAGTTTTATTTATTTTTTATTCTTTTTACACAAATATTTTTATTACATTATCTTATATACATATCCTTTTTCTTTTTGTGAGAACTTCTGCTAAAATCTCATTCTTGTGCTATGATGACCTGTGTTCGACAAATTGTACTTTAGATAACTGTATAATAGCTAAAAAAAGTAATAACGAAAATATATATATAAAATAGCTCTCAAAGGATTGCGAGACAGTCAATGTGTAATTTGAAGAGAAATAACTAAATAAAATTATTTTTAATTCTTACCTAACTATGCTTCAGTCTTTATTTCTTTCGTTTCAAACAAATTCAATAGCTTTAATTCTCTTTGTACTTAACAAATTGAAGTTTTTACTGCGCATCGTAAAATTTTTGCTTGCAGTATCAACATCGAAACTTCAATAACATAAACATTCTTACTTTGCGCTCCAAGAATGTGATTATCAGTGGTGCATTTGCATCGTACATGATTTCCCTGATCCATAGACATTATCCTAAAATACCTACCAAATTCACATTTCTTTTTTATAATTACAATTAATTCTATTATTATTCGTTTCGAAGCATTCCATGCCCTTTTTGTGAAAATTTTTACAAAATCAAAATTCTTATTTTGTGCGTTAGGGCCCGCGTATCTTGTGATAATTTGTGATATGTAAAATAGATAGTAACTAAATTGTATGTAAATAAATGTGGAATTTGAAGAAAAATAAATAAAAATTATTTTTAATTCTTACTTAAAAAGTATATATTTTTTGTGGTTTAAAAATCGATAACTTTATTTCTTTTGTGCATAACATAATCGAAGGCTTTATTGTTGACCATACGAAGTTGATAAATCGTGTTTTATTCTGTGGTTCGTTTGATTTTTTTATCACTGGATTGATTATTCTATTGTTTGATTTTGATATTGCTATTTATTTGAATTTATTGTTTTGGAATAAACCTATTCTTGTGTTTTGGAAAGACATCATTTTTGTTGATATAGTTATTTTTTTGTTTGAATTGAAGTTATTAATGAAATATTCATTACTTTTAATTGAAATTAAATATTATTGCTTTACCATTGCCCTTGAATTCTCTGCCATTGATTGCACAATTTCCATATAGCTTGGCATAAAAGACTTTAGAACCTCAATGAAACCCACTTGTAAATCATTCAGTCTAGCTCTCGAATCTTATCGCATTTACAATTCTTTAGTCCAACTAACTTTTAAATTGAGCGTGATAGTGTTGAAATTTTCAAAAATCCACTTTAGTTAGTTTTCGACATTCCAGAAAACTAATTTATAGATATGTTACATGTAAATTTTATCGCCGTCATATTTTTATCTAACTTATCTTTTATATTCACGAGCATATAATGTGTATGTTTATTTAAAGTTTCAAAGCAAAGGAGTTACTTTATTATTTTTTGCAGATTGAATTGATATATCATTCTTAATGAGAGCATTGGTTATTCACAAACAAGGAGAGTAAATCAACAACACCTTTGTTTCAGAGATTCTGTCAAAAAGATTTATTTACATTACATATTTAAATATGCATAATATTAAAGGAATACTGTGTTCGGGTTCCAGTAAGAATGCGCGAATTTTAATAAACCTGAAGAAAAGAATCCGACGCAAAAAAATGAGAAAAAGATATTAAAATCTAGCTTAGAGCATTATTAAAAAATATCAGTGAGATAAATTACATACTGTATACATGTAACTTTTACCTTTTAATAATTGTCTAATTTGTAGCATTTTTATTTAATTAATTATCATATGGCCAGGAACCGGTGACATAGCACATTATCATAAAAGATGCGGTATTTAACGATGCATTATTTATTGTGCCGTTTTAAGATGGATGATGACATATCAAATGTACGTGTATTATCATTCAATGGCGTCTTATTAACGTTAAATAGGTAAAATCTACGATTATCAAAATGTCCGTGTTTCTTATAAATTAAGGAGCTTCATTAGTTATTTCCTCAAAAAAATTTGATACAACAAAAATGAATTTCCATTGCAATCACATTCTCATACTACTTATTGTTACTATAATTTTTTCATCTGCGGTCATTGGGTTACCTGTTCCCGATGCTAACGCTAATGCAGATTCCATGAAAGCCAGGGGTATAAGAGTCAATTCTCCCGATAACATTATCTGGACATAATTTACATCTCAAGTTTATTTGTGAATTTATTAGCTTGTAATGTGGCCTTTATCTTATTCTCTAATGATTAGGAACGTGAATAATAGAATATCGGTCATATCATATAAATTTCGAATATAATTTGATGCCTCATATTACGTTATCAATGATTTTATTATTATTATTATTATTTTCATCTGAAACAAAATTCCCGCTCTTGGTTCACTTGTGACAGTAGTTTTTTTAATTTTAAAGCTTCCATTCTTGATTCATATGTGATTATCCATTCTTGACTCAGATTAGTTTAGTGTAAATGTTCTTTTTACCATTTTTCATGTATAACTTTAGAAAGATTTTTTTAAGAGAAGACGGAGTAATTTATACAAAATGAGACTATGATTTTAAAGATTTCCTGAAACAATATTAAATCAGTTTTTAAATGTTTCAAATTCAAAGTTTGGTTTGAAAAATCCAATTTTATAAACTGAGCTTAACTTGATTTTTGAAAAAGCTTTTCCATCTCTATCTTTTCACAATTATCAAAATTACAAATGATAATCTAGTACATGATTCGCGGGTTTTTAAAGTACAAAGTTTGAATTTCTATCTAAAGTAATTTTATGTAAAAAGAATATGTAATAATATTAAAAATAAGTTACGAAATGAAATAAAAGTCCAATTAATATTATTAAATATCACGAAATCAAGAAAACCGTTATTCCGTTAAACCCTCAAATCGGCTGGCTGTGTCTTTGTTCATTGTTCAGCTTAATTTTCGGCACAAGCGATTATGTAACACTGCACGTTTTTTAGCAAATTTTTTAACACAATCGGCCACGTAATATTATGCATGCCTTTAAGCACAATCAGTCACGTAATATCATACATATTCTTCAAAATAATCTGTGTGAAATTCTAGTCTATTTTTAAATATAATTGCTATATTTTATTTTTTTATGATTTTGTCTAAGTTTTATTGATGTAATCAGAATAATAATAGTAATACTTTAAGTGATTAAGCTGACGAAAATGTATACAATGAATGGCTTTTGGCCATCAATAAAATAGTTTTTCTCGCAGAAGTAATTTTTGTACAGTTTTTCTCAAATAATAAATACTTGTAAAAACCTTTTGTAAAGTTGTCGTAATCATAATTGTATGGTTTAGATTCTTTGTGTCAGAAAAGATATCATATTGATTGGTCTTTTGTTTCAGGAAAAGCAACGCATCAACCGATTAATTGATTGGAATTATGGTTTTTAGTTAGAAAAAGATCACTTGGAATTAAGATATTAATATGAATAGCCTATATAACATAATTCCCTTCCCTTTCTCTCCCGAAATCCTTCCAATTCCCGCGCCAAATCATCCCATTCACATACATTCTTTCTCTTGACTGCGCATATAGAACGATATCCATAGATATCGACACAGGAATTAACATAAGAAGTAAGCTGATTATTTTAAACTAAATCCACCCAAATACACTTTACCTGCGATAGAAGTATGAACTCATTATGAATTTACTCTAAATGATCAGAATCTTGGAATTGTGGGTGCCCAAGACGTATTGGAGAGTTACGAGATAAAAAGGTTATTGTTTGATATACAAGATAGAAAATCTAATGTAAATGTCGTGGGTCTCGCGTGGACAAGGTAAGAATTTTTATAAGTTTCGGGAGTACAAATAAGCGTGACATTTTCTAAATTAAGTAATTAAATTCGTGTTTTAAAAGATAGATGCGAGAGAAGAATTATAAATTAAATAATACAGAAATGGCTATGCTAATTAATAAAGAATTGATAAGAAAAAAGAAAAATAAGAATTTTATGAGTTTCATGAAGGTCTTTCAAGTATTACAAAATTCTATCAATTCGTTACAAAACGATCTTAGTTGTTAGGAGATACAAAGTAGAGATTTCCGTAATCACGAGATTTTTAGTTGCGACGGCAACTACATTGCTTAAACCCATTTTTCATAGTGATAGTGACTATAGAGAAATTGATCTTCAATATAGTGACAGAGAGCAGAATTGAAGATAGAACAGATAGAATGGAGAACGGGACATGTGATAAAATCAAGTTTAACATAAAATAGAAATTAATATTATTACGGTAACAGTAGGTGAAACAGAACGTTCGCCTTCTTGTCAGTAATATAATAGGCTTTTTCTCTTTAGTACAAAAATATATTGTTCCATCTCCAAGATGGATAATGCAAAAACGTGAAAATAAGGTTCAACACTTAGCTTTTTATTCGTTCGTTATTACTATTTGAAGCTTTTATAAAATAGAGTTTGTGTTACCGTTATTATTAACGTTTAGTCATACAATACTAATACAATAACAATGAATTTTTCTATAATGTATTTACCTTAACGTCAAGTGATATTTGTTACCATTATTATCATTTCTATGACCTTTATAAATGCACATTATTGGATACATGTACAACACAAACGTAAACATTGTGCGAGCAAAATCAGATGTTGACACATGCAATTGGTATTATAGTATCGGTTATTTTATCTCCATTATACCGTATCCTCTTCCTTACACGGTAAATACGGTACCGGCGGTGTTATCCGGACGGGACAGTCCATGTCCGACATTTTTACGTCCTGGATGTCAATATTCGTGTCTTAATTCCGGCTAAAAGACTTTAATGTTGATCAAGTTTAGATCAACTTGCGGGACACAGACGTGAGACAACATTGAGCATCGGTATATGAAATACAAAATATTACAGCGTCAGCTAAGATAATTGTATTTCTATTATCAAAGTAAACAATACGTGTACATGCATCGGTGAAAAAAAGATTGTTTGGATTAAAATTCTAATGGGTGTATTACATGTACCTCTTACTATAATTGGGAATTGCTAATTGAGTTACCAATGCATGTACATGTACATGAAATTTTTCTGATAAGAACAATGACGACATACATTCTTCATCATCTATCACTGTAATTGGCAATTTTCAATTGGGTCACGATGCATAAATTCCATTGTCAAACTCGATATAGATGTGCACATGAAACATGTTCATCTAATAAGATGGTTCATCGGAATCACTTTTAAATACGCGATTTACATGTTTATTAAAATATAGTTAAAAAAGCTCATTTATGCATCTATATGACGAACCATTCTTATCTTTCCTCTAAACTTTATTTCCACGTACTTGTGCTTTATGAATGTTTTGCGCAGATAGAATGTATCAAAATTTTACACATGACCCTCCCTTATCAGAAATGGAAACTTTTTCCTATATATATTCCTCACAACAACGTATCTCAAATATTAATTCTCTAGCAACTTTCAATTTAGCAAATTGACGTAAAATATCCATCTATCTAATAATCAACTTCCCCGCTTTATTCAAAGTCATTGACCAAAACATATTTGCATTAGTTTTTTCTTCAAATTATTACTGGTATTTCACCAAGATGGGATTTAGCTTCGGTGATTTGTTAGAAGATGTAAAAAGGACAATTGTAAAATTCATTAAAAAATTAGTATTATCGGATCTCACAACTCATGCAGTTCCGGTAACCGTTCCTTTGGCTGATACTGGCATAGCATGCATTGGTAAAACTCTCCAAGAAAAGGCAAAAGAAAGCAATTTTGAAACTTCTCTCTTACTAGACTTAGACTGTACTGCTATTGATAAAAACATCAACTTACAAGAAACGGTTAAGGAAAAAGGTCGTAAAGCTCTTCAAATACTAGGAGATGCTGTTATAAGCAACAACGTGAAGACTAGCAGTTTAGTCACTGGTTCTAAGAATTTACTATCACAGGTGGTTGGAGAATCAGTTAACGTTTGCAAAAAAGCTGAATTAGTGTCAACTATCCTAGAAAGAGCTGAGAAGCTAACACATTGCAAACATCAAAAAGATGCCAACTATGATTCCGATTGCCCTGTATGGTAAGATTTTCTTATGTCAGATAAGCGCTCTCACAAAAGAATTACTTTACGACTTATTTATTTTGCTTCCTTTGTTATTTTTAACAGTTCCCAAATAAAATCGAATAATGAAAACGAAAACACGAGATTAGGGCTCGATTATCTTTTGAACGATTTAGGAAGGAAAACCGTAGTAATAGGAAAATACGCGAGTAAAGTTGCATTATCGGGTGTTGCTGCGGGTGCGTTAGTTGCCACAGCTGGTGCAGCTGCCCCAGTAATTGTCCCCTTGGCTGGTGCTGGCATAGCATACATCGGTAAAGGTCTACAAGAAATATCGAAAGAGAGCGATAACGTAGTTCTTCAATTACTGAGCGACACTGTTGTGGAAGTAGGTAGCGACCTTCAAGAATCAGATGAAGGAAATGATTGCGGCGCTCTACAAATGCTAAGCGATACTGTTATAGATGCAGGTTTCGGCGCTATAGTTGGCGGTTTAGCCATCAGTTCTAGCAATTTATTATCCCAAATGGTTGGAAATTCGGACAACGCTTGTAAACAGACTAAATTAAACAGAGATGAGGTGGTAATACAATGCAACCATGAGAATGATTCTGATTGTCTTGTATGCGACGAATGGTAAAATTCTTATCCATATAATCTTTCTCGCAGAGAAATTACTTTGCACCTTAATTTTATTTATTTAATTTTAACAGTTCTCCAATAAAATCGGATAACGAAAACAAGAGATTCGACTTCGGCAATTTTTTGGATGATGCTAGGAGAAAGACTTTAAAAGCGGGAATATTCGCTGGTAAACTCGTATTAACGAGTGCTGCTACAGGTGCAGTAGTTGCCACAGCTGGTGCAGCTGCTCCAGTAATTATCCCTTTGGCTGGTGCTGGCATAGCATACATCGGTAAAGGTCTCCAAGAAGCAACGAAAGAAAGCAAATTGCTAGATGCGATTGTAATGAATACAGGTATCAGCACGAAAACAGGCGGTTTTGATACAGGTCTCGGCGGCGCGATTACTGGCGGGTTAGCAACCGTTTCCAACAGTCTAATATCGCAGATGACTGGAAAATCGGTTGACACCGCGGTTAAGACAATTGAATTATCGATTGACCAAGAAGCAACGAAAGAAAGCAAATTGCTAGATGCGATTGTAATGAATCCAGGTATCAGCACGAAAACAAGCGGTTTCAATAAAGGTCTTGGCGGCGCGATAACTGGCGGTTTAGCAACCGTTTCCAACAGTTTAATATCGCAAATGACTGGAAAATCGGTTGACACCGCGTTTAAGATTGGTAGGACAATTGAATTATCGGTTAAGGCGGCGTCTGAGCGTATGTCAACTACAATTGGCGGAGCTGAAAAGCAAAGACAGGAAAATCTTTCTAACTACAACTTGGACTCGAGCCATAATTATATTATTAAAAATACTCTCTATAAATACAAACACGTTATACATAAAAACTATCCTAAATGCGCTATCAATAAGTGCACTCCAAATACACTTTCTAACCTTAGCCCTAATTATATTATTAAAAATACTCTCTATAAATGTGCACCTATCAATAAGAACACTCTAAATACACTTTCTAACCTGGATCCGAGCCCTAATTATATTATTAAAAATACCCTCTATAAACATATACCTATCAAAAAGTACACTCTAAATCCACATTCTAACTTGAATCCGAATCATAATTATATTATTAAAAATACCCTCTATAAACGTGCACCAAACATATAAAAAAAAATTCCATTGATTTTCAGCATTTACATCAATTTTTTGTGAGACAAAGTCAAATGTATATATGAAATTAATTTATTTTTGTTGAGAACAATAAAATTGTTTATACTATTTACACTTATTTTTTTATTCAAAAAAATTAAATCAAGCTAGAGGGATTTTTCTTTTAACTAGTTTGTTTCTTTAACCCTATTTTACGCCGTTTTTGAAACCAAAAATTGTAAGATACTGTACAAAAGTAATGCAACGCTTGGACTTTTACTAATTATAATTATTAAAAATTCAAGCGTTTGCATATGATTTCCGTGTAATTACCATTTATGGGGTTTCCTTAAAGTAATATCAGCCACGGCAAAAAAAGTGTCGGATCATGTGGGTTTTTTAAGAGGTAAAGCAATCAAATCGCAAAATCAATGTGTAATGGAAAAAAATTCAAAAAAAACGTTTATTTTTGAAAAATAGCTTGTATCTCGAAAGTTTTGTCTATGAAATCACTTTTTTTGTTCTAACAAAAAATGTTTCTTGCAAATAGTATTTATAGTGGTGCTTTATAATGTTATACTGTTATAATGTCACGTAGAATATAATCCTAACTACGATTCTAATCCTAATCTTAATTATAATTAATAACTATTATCGTTATATTTATTATCTTGCGATTTGATTGGTTTATTTCTTAAAAAATCACATGATCTTACACTTTTTTTTGCTGTGGCTAGGATATTATTCTTAAAGCAAGGCAAGCCGTTTAGCTGGTTTAGTCACAGACCCGCCATAACAGATCGGTAATACATGATCCCAAACAAATATAGCCAATCAAAATATACACATAATATATGAAAAATATCCTTTGAATATTAATTATGTTAAATGTAATTTTGCTTTCTTTCTAACATTATCTTTGCATTCTCCTTTACATTATTTTCATATTATTGTACTTTTAAGGAACAATACTTTAACAAGATTCTTATGCATTATTTATATGAATACTTTTAATATTAAATTATACCTCTCTTAATATTTAACTCAGTTATATTTCTTCTTTAATTACATTTCTTTCTCAATTATGCTTCTTCCTCAATATTCTTCTTAACTTGATCTATATGCAAAAACTATATCTCTCACTATAATAGTAGATTTTTATTACATTCATATCAAATTTCTGTGAATATTATTTTTAATTATTTGAACTTTTTCTTGAATATTTATTAATAATATTTGAACAAGATTTAATGAAAATAAATTATCAAATAGTAATAAATAGAAAGAATATATATATAAACTATCCAAATCACAATAATCAAGTGATCATAAAAATAATATTTCTTCAAGAAGCTTTATATAATCTGGAAGTAATCTTCTATCAATTATGAGATAAGAATAAAAATAAACTAATTAACTAACTTTACAAAAATTCATATTAAAGTTTAAAAATATATCTAATTATAGTCATACTCTTGATAAAAGTGATATATAAAAATGATTAAAATATATAAAAGATATAATAACTAATAAAGCTATTAAGAAATATATATTTCAAATAATTATTAATATTATTCAAAAAGATATCATAAAATTACTTGAGTTTTCAAATGTTGAATATCAGAAAATACAAGAGATTACTAATATTAAACTAAAATTCTTAAATTTAATAAATTTATATCTTATTAGAAATACTAATCTAAATATAAATATTCAAAATGCAGATAATTTTCTTACTCAAAAAATTATCAAGTTAAATAGTTTATTATTTAGAAATTATTCTATTAAGTTTTCTATTTCACAAATATCAAGTAATTAAAAAAACTTATAAAATATAAATAGTTAATATTGATTAATTTAATATATAATACAAATTAATATTACTAATATTTATTTATTTCATATATTTATAATAATTATAATAATTAGAATATTAATATATATTTTTTAGTTAGTAATAAGAATAGTAAGATAATTCAATAGTACTAAAATTATTAGAAAATTTGCTTCTTATTAAAAATTATATTATATATTACTTAATCAAAGCAATATAAAAATAAATAGTATTATGATCACTTTTTCTAGTTATTTATAAGAAAAAAAAATTTGATATTATTCTTTATATAATATGAATATAAATAAAAATAAAAACAAAATAATATTAGATTAAAATTAAAAGTAATTTTATTTATTTATTTTCTATTTTTCTTTAAATTATATAAAAACTTATTTTTTAACTAACAAGAACTATTCTTTATATATAATTTAATTAATTTAGTTTTTAACTATCTATTTATAATTATTATTATAATAATTTTTTGCTTATAATTTTGTAAATCTTACTTATTTGAATTATAAATTAAAAATAAATTAATATAATTTTATATATAAATAATATATATACTAATTTAGTAATTTGATTTAAAATTACTAAATTTTTAAATTTTTTAAATTAGATTTAAAATAAAATTAAGATAATATTTAGATAATTTTAATCTTTTTCTAGTAAATATCAGTTTTAAAGAGAACTTAAATATTTAGAATATAAAATAGATCAAGTTTTTTTCTATATTAAATAATATATTATATATCAAAAAGAAAAGAATACAAGTTAGTTTTGTTAAAATTTAAATATTATATATATTATACATTTAAAGCTTATTAATTATTATTTATTAATTAATAAAAGAAATTTTATTCATTTTATAATAAGAAAAAGATATAATTTATAATAATTTGACTTTTTTAGAATTTATTTTTCTAATATATTGATAAAGAAATTATATTTAAAATTTAATTTATATAGTAAATTTAGTTTTAATATTTTTTTTATATATATTATTTATATTAAATTCAGTTTTTATTATTTATAATAATAATTTTATTTTATAAATTATTTTTTATTTTATAACTCTTGATAGATAGATTTATTTATAAATATTTTTTATATTTTAAAATATTATTATATAGTACTTAATTATTAATTAATTATAAAGTTTTATATAGTTTAATATATTAATATCTGTAATTTTGATTTAAAAGATTTTTATTTATATAATACTAAAATTATATATAATAATCTGAATAAATTTATTTTCATATAGTAAAATAATTATATATAGATATATTTTTTTCATAAAATTTATTAATTTTTCATATTTAGTTTTTATATAATCAAATTTTTATATTACTAATAGCAAACAAAATATAAATAGTATTAAATATCTATAAATACTTTTCTAAAACTATATTTATAGATAAATAAAATTAAAATATATTATTATATAAGAAAGTTAGTCTGGTTTTAAAGTTGTAAAAAGTATAATTAGAATTATATTATCTAATTAAAACTAGTATAATAATAATATATTTATTTTATATCAAAATTTTAAATGATTTAAATCTTTAATTAGATAAAAATATTATATTATTTTTGTAAGTTTATATTATAAATAGTAATAAGATAGAATAATAACTTTTTATAATTTTCTTATAATAATTTCTTTCTAAATATAGATATGCACTTTCAAGTAATAATTTTTTCAAATAATATAGCAGTTAAACTATTATTATAAATAAAAAGAATAAAGAAATATTCTTTATGAATTACTAAATAATATTATATTTTTTATCATTAACTTCATTATTATTTTGTTAATCTAGAGAAAAATAATAATATACTATATTTTCTAGAAGTTTTTCTTTATAATTAATATTATTATTTGTATTATATATTATCAAAAATATGGATGTCTTATAAGAATATTATTTTAATACAGAAATATAGTTTATTATTAATGATTTTTAATGCAATTATCATTTTTTAAAATAATAATAGTAATAAGATATATGATAAAATTATATTAAATTCTATTTATTTTTAAAATTCTATAATTAAATCTTCTAGAACTTGAGAATAAAAATAACATAATATTAAAGAATAAAATAATATTCTAGATATTATTAAGAATATCAATATTATTTCTAATCAAGCAAACTATTATAAAAACTTTGATATCAATATTTTTGAAAATCTTTTCATAATATTTTGTGAAATAATTAATAAAATATATAGAAAGTAAATATTCATATAAATAATATATATTATTATAAGCAAAAAATTGAAAATATTCCAAACTCAAGCATCAAAAAAAAGAAAATAATTAACTGATTAATAACTTATAAAATTTCTTTTTCTGACAAACTATACAAATCTGAGCTTCTAGATCTTGTACAAAAAATAAAAAAAGAGTTTTATTTACTTATATTAAGATAGTAAAACAATATGATCATAAAATTTTTTATATCTTCTTATCATTATGAGCTTTAGTCAATTAAGAATATTTAGACAATAAGTTTTTTTTGCCTTCTTATCATTATAAGCTTCAGTCAATTAAGAATATTTAGATAATAATAAAAGATGAAATAACAAAGTCAGTAAATCTCTTAGATATTAGAAATAAGCTTTAAAGAAAAAATAATATCAAAAGTAATAATAGAAATATGAAACGAATACTTACAAGAGTCAAAGAATATATAAGAATCAGATAATAATTTAATTTTATTAGATAAGAAAACAGATAATGATAATGAACTTGATGATGATAATAAATTTTAATAAAATATTTATGATATAATAAATCTGAATATCTATTAGTTTTTGTTTTTTTTTAAAAAAAATTATATGTAAAAACTGGTTTTATTAAAATTATTATGAGATACAGATATTTTTGCACTAAATCATATAATTATATTAATCACTTTTTATTAATAAATAAGACTTATTAATTTAGTAAATTTTATATAATCTTAATTTAAAATATATGTTTTGTTGAATTAATATCAGAATTAGAGTTAAATTTTTACTAATTAAAAGTTTTGTCTTAATAGTAAAAAGTTCTATTCTCAAAAATTTACACTACAAATATTTACTTTTTAATTTGCAATTTAGATAAATTTTTATTATTAAATAGTAGTTAAGATTCTGTTAATTTAAAAAATTATATAGTAAAAAAGCT